CCAGAACAGGTTGAAACTTAAGCAGGGTGCCACCAGATTAGGTTGAAACTTAAGCCGGGTGCCACCAGAAAAGTTTGCAACTTAAGCAGGGTGTCACCAGAACAGGTTGAAACTTAAGCAGGGTGCCACCAGAACAGGTTGAAACTTAAGCAGGGTGCCACCAGAACATGTTGAAACTTAAGCAGGGTGCCACCAGAACAGGTTGCATCTTAAGCAGGGTGCCACCAGAAAAGTTTGCAACTTAAGCAGGGTGTCACCAGAACAGGTTGCATCTTAAGCAGGGTGCCACCAGAAAAGTTTGCAACTTAAGCAGGGTGTCACCAGAACAGGTTGCAACTTAAGCAGGGTGCCACCAGAAAAGTTTGCAACTTAAGCAAGATGCCACCAGAACAGGTTGAAACTTAAGCAGGGTGCCACCAGAACGGGTTGCAACTTAAGCAGGGTGCCACCAGAAAAGTTTGCAACTTAAGCAGGGTGCCACCAGAACAGGTTGAAACATAAGCAGGGTGCCACCAGAACATGTTGCAACTTTAGCATGTTCCAACGAAAGAAGGTTAACACTAAACAAGGCAGACTTTGGGGAGGTCCACAGGGAATTTTTGTGCGTGATAGACACCGTGTTTTGAGCTTCGTTTCACAATCACGTGTTTTAGCTTGAAAGAATATTTGAACATTTTTTTTCTTCGTTTAAATATGTTAATGCAACAATTTTCATTTAACTTTACATGTAAGTCCCAAGGCAATTATTAATAATAAGTTGGCATATTTGGAAAGTAAATCGTAGTTGGGCAAGATGGAAATTCTGAATTGTCCCTGAGGATTTAGTGTTGCCCCATAAACAAAGTTTGTTAACGGCCATTTTGTAAGCAGTGAATTGATACAGTTAAGTTCAACTTAGTTATCTTGAAAAAAAATACCCAAAATATTTATAACACTATTAGGAAAACATTGTTATTTCTTGAATGAATAGAATGGAAATATAACGGACACTACGCATTAATTATATATTTTTTTCATTTTCCCTTTTTTTCGCAGATATTTAAGAAAGAATTAACGACTTAAAAACAACAACCGCTTGAAGGAACATCGACAACATAAGAAATATCCAGCCTGAATCATGGATCTCTCTGTCTCAGATTTAAAGAAGGACATACATATTTTGGGCCAGTTGCTTAAAGAAAATAAATTTAATCTTTTCAGAATTAAATCCAAAAAATACAGTCACAAAATGGAATGTTTCAGAGAAAAATTTCGTCAGTATCACGAGACAACCATCCTAAAATTCAAACTAAGTAAAATCTACAACTTCACAGGCCGGTTTAAATTCTACGGTGACGGTATGCTCTTCATCTACTTAGAAGTTGAGGAAAAGAAATTTAAGGACGGTATTAGGTTGTCTACGGAATTAATTTGGCCAGTCATGTGCAAATGGAAAGTAGAGATGATAGACGAAAACGACGAAAACAACAAAGAGAAGGCGTTCATGTTGGGAAAAGCTTCTTGTATTTTAAACAAACCACGGCAAGGATTTAAGTCTCATCCAAACGTTTGGATTTCTATCGACCTGGCCAGTATAGAAAACTCTGGTCTTATATCACAGGACGGTTCGGTGATCTTGAAATGGACTGTCCAGACCGAGCCATTCTTGCACGGCTTTAATGTGGAGAAGTTCCCAGAATTACTGGAAAAGTTGGGGAAATTTTGTGACAGCTATGTAGAGCCGGCAACTTTAATCGGCCTCATCAATCGCAGCGCTGATGAAGTCCTGGAGAAGAGGAGAGAGAATAAAGAAAAGATATCCGGTCTGGAACGCGAAGCTTCTCAACTTAGTATGAAATTGAAAAATATCGAGGAGGAGCACGCAGAGTATACTAGATCATTCAAAGAATTCAAGGATCAAAATATAGTTCCGTTGTTGTTACACCACAGATCTTTTTCTTCAACTCGCGCCAATGTTTCGTAGTGAAAAAAAAGATAAACTGTAACGGGAGATTTATTTTTATTTCCGTAAGTTCGGTAAAATTGTTTTAATTTGGATTTTATCTACAAAAAGTTCAGCGATAGGATATTTCAAAGATGCAAGGGTCAATATGAAATTTAGAGATGTCATCTAATGGAAAGCTTTGTCCCTCACTAGAATATGGACGATAAATAACACTATGGGCTTTGCGGCCCGCAGGAGAAAACTTGGAGGTCCGAGCCCCGCAGACCCCTTTGAGACCCGTGATCAATTAAATATATATTGATGGTAAAATTGAAACACCAAAATAGTTATTATAATTTCAATAGCTAAATATTCTGGGAGAACGCCTGAGATAATTTTTGAAAACACAACCGAGGCTAATACAAAAAATTATCGATATTAATTTTTAATATACCGTCATTTTTGTATCTTTGAATTCTTTGTATGGTTTTGGGGTCAATATAGGCCTGGAGTCGGAAAAACGTGGCTCGCGAATGAACTTTGGATATTTCGGTGCCGTACTTGTGGCTCTCAAATAAAATTGAAATACATCTTATTACAGTTTCAATTATAAAATAATTGTAAAAGCTTATTTTTTTTGGACATAAGGTTTGGTATTTCGCCTGCCAATGATTTGTTCCACGAGTAAGTGTTTTGTTTGTCTTAAGTAATACTTGATTTATTAGTGAGCGTATTTGGTGTAGAGATTTATTGCTACACGGTTGCTATGGGCTTTTTGTGCTGATGGCGTTTTGTGAATTGCTTGTTGTTAGGGCTCAGCAGTAATTATGCAGAGCGACAGCGGATGATAGGAAGGACCTGTAGTAGGAGCAAGTTGTGTGTAAATTCTTTATATTTCTTTCCCTCACTTTTACGTAGGCTACTTTTATTATGTCAATTTGATATATACTTACATGAAGGTGTTTTTTCTGTTTTTTTTTTTTTTTTTTTTTTTTTTTTTTTTTTTTCAACTGATGAAGTCATTTGCCAAAACGTATTATATCTGATGATTATTAAAGCTGAACGTGTATTGCTTTATTAACACACGTCGTTTGTGTCTAATCAATCTTTATAGGCAGCCTGGAGATTTACGTAAGTTGTAGTCACCTTAGAAAGCAAGTTGATTTACTAAAGACAGCCTCATAACCAGAATGTTTCAACACGCTCTCAAAGTTGCTGTCCTTTCCGTAATAAAGTTTTTTTTTACTGCGTAGCAGTTGACTAATGCATGTTTGGATATATGGATTAATGCACAGCTAACAAAAAAGAGAACAGTTGTGTTATAAGACAGGGGAGATGAAATTAAAATTGTAAAAAAAAATGTGTTAAATGTTGTCACGTTAAAAAAAAAATTAAAATTGGATCTCCATGTACATCTGTGTCCAGCCTTAAGCTTAATTTATCGTTGTGCGTATTAAATTAAAAAGAAAATGATTCTGGTAAATCGCGAAATAAATGATTGGGACACGGTCATGTGTAAATCAATTTTAATTTTTATATTATATATTTTTAAATAACAGAGCAAATAAAAGATTTATACAAAAAAACTTTTAGGGATTTTTTTTTATATTCTGATCAAATACACAAATGTATTTGTATTAATGTCGAGATGTAATGAGATAACTGTCAAAGAGAAAACGTGATATTAGAATGCACTTAAAAAAATCACACACAAAGGAACGAAACAAAGATATAAATATAGTTGAATTTGACCACCCAACCTAATCCATCGTAAATAATACAAGATATAAATATACACAGGTAACACTCATTACACATATCCTAATAAATCGTCAAACATTCATGCAAAGTTAACAAAAGACAATTAGATTGTATGAAAAAAAAAACACTTCTATTTGTAAATGTATAACCTGCATGGCTATCTGTGTAATTTAGCTATGAAAATATTGTAACCTTTGTCCCGGGTAACGCCCATTTATACCCACTCAGCTAAAAAAAAAATCCTACTTGATCATACCCCCGTCAGCTTTGTCACCATATCTTTTCTTCATTACACTTAACACTCTGTGCTCCTAACTCCTTACACTTGCTTTATTTTTGTGAAATTTACTGAAGTGTCTAGTGTATACCCTATTTATTTCGCTCACAATTACACTATCCTCATCACACACACGAAAAAAAAATATTCATCTTACCAGTCCCACCCCCCTATACATATATACATGAGTAAAATCATATCTATTAATTGCAAATTATTTACTTAAAGACCAATTAGGCCCTATCCAACAATAAAAATAGATAAAAAAAAAACAGTTTTTATTTGGACAGCAAGCTGTAGTAAAAATATCACACGTGCGAGACAAGGAAGTCATGATAGGCACAAAGCCCCAAAGACTACACACCAAAAGACAACTCCGGTGAGAACAAGCTACACAAGTAAGAACTACACGGTTTAAGTAATTGTGCAGTTATAACTCAGTCAACCGTAGAAACGTACACACCACAATATGTTAACTAGATAAGAAAAAAAAAAGCTTATCAGATTACTCGAGTCAGCTACTCGGCAGTTCTCAAACTTTTCGTTCCAGTTGGCACATCCACGTCAAACCAAAAACGAAAAGGGGATTACGGAATTCCTGTTCAAATAATCAAAATATTTATATGGGCTGTAAACGCAGTTTCGACGGATACTTTAAGGATTAAACAATCGAAATTTTTTTTTAAAAACGCACTTGAGATAAAAAAAAATATTAATAACATTTGCGTTATTTCAAGTATTTCTTTAATGGGTTATCTTAAGAAACATGAGTGAGTACTGCCTTTTTTTATTGCAGTTACAGTAGATGTGGCAGGGTTTGTGGCAAGAATGGCAAGGCCGGAAAAAGGCGTACTCGTCAAACAAAAAAATTGTCATTCAGGAAATTCTCCAATAAGGACTTACCATGATAATTTAAAAAAAAAATAATTTGGTAATCTATTCAATCAATTAGGTGAAACTTAATTATCTCTTTCAGCACAAATTGATATTTCTTCACACAAATTCAAATACCTGATTGTTTGTTTCAAGTAATATTCCCCCAACCAGAACACATCATACAGACTGAGGACTGTGGGTATACAGTATGCAGAGGTCAAGTATTTCATTGAAAAGGACATCAGTAGTGGTTACTTTATCAATTCGTCGAATGTGTTCTTTTTTACTTTTTGAGTTTATCTGTCTACTAAAAAAAATATACCAAATACAATTTTTTCAAATTTAAATATAAGCTGTGTAAAAAAACTTAGTGTACAATTCTGGTGTTTCCAGTGCTATCCCAACACAAATATATTCGTTATCCGGATGTGACTGACATCAAAGTGAATGAAAAAAAAAACACGAAATATTTATCATCCAAAGCCAAGAATATAAGCAATAATTACCGTATCTCTAAGGCCTTTAAAGTGATGCACATTACGGGAAATACAGAGGGAAGGGAAGTAAGTGCGGATTTTAAAAAGTAATATTTAACATAGTTGTCTCATTTGCAGGACTGAACGTACTGAAATACACACATCTCCAACACACATGTTAGTTAGTGTCCATTACATTTGTTAGTTTAACGTGTCAATCTTATTTGCTAGTGTAAATCCCATTTGTTAGTGTAGATATCACATTTGTTGGTATAGATTTGAACTATGAGCTTTTGTGTGCAAAATAAATTATTTTTGTTTAGAAGTAAAGGTGCATTAAATTCAGCGTAAATGCAAACTTCAAACGCAGTTACAAGCTCCAAAGAGTAGCTTGGTCAATTAGGGTAGAAAAAGGGGGGGGGATGGCTTGCAATCAAAATGCAAGTTGTGTAAGGTAATCCACTTATCTGTTTATGAAAGTTAACAAAACTAGATAGACAGGATATAGTACTGCGATTTGTTTCTCAAGGATCAGAAAATGTCTCAGGCAAGCAATTTGGCAGTTGCGTATGAATAACACAATTCTCTGAGAGATAATATTCTGGGTGGTTTAGTGTGATCGAGACCGCAAGGCCAATCACAGCTTTTCTCATTAGATGGCTGACGATATTTACACAAACAATTTGGTAACTTTTTACAGAAAACAACCAAATTATTTATTTCTTTATTAAACATTAACCAAACAAACTCCCGAAACCGTAGTTTTTTTAAAGGGCTCGTCGTAGTGCTTTAGTCTCAGGCAAAGAAACGCGGTTACTAAGGCAAAAGCATAGGGATAAACAGGGCTGAGTAAACAGGGCTGAGTAAACAGGGCTGAGTAAACAGGGCTGAGCAAACAGGGCTGAGTAAACAGGTCTGAGTAAACAGGGCTGAGTAAACAGGGTTGAGTAAACAGGGCTGAGTAAACAGGTCTGAGTACACAGGGCTGAGTAAACAGGGCTGAGTAAACAGGGCTGAGTAAACAGGGCTGAGTAAACAGGGCTGAGTAAACAGGGCTGAGTAAACAGAGCTGCTGTTGTGGTCCAGCCCGTACAGCCCACAGAACATGTCACCATGCTCTGCTTTTGGCGCTTCAGTCTCCAACACTGATCGGATTTGCTGGACCTGGGCATGTCAGCTTGAATGCCTCACACTATCCTGCTGTCTGAGCAACTTCCCGAATGACTTTTCCCTTCAGTGTCAGGTAAAAACGGAGCAAAAAAAGAAATTTAATGGCGTCAAGTCACAGTGATATTTAAAAGAAATCAAAATACTTATGAGATCATGATGTGTCATTAGCAAATATATATGTGCATAGTTATGTGACAAAAGAGACATAATTATTACGAAGTTTAAGAGAACAAAATAAAATTTAAAAAAATGAAACAAGCGTGAAAAAACCCCATGAACCGTTCCAAAATGAAAACCCAGCCAACCGTAGACAACGTATACACTGCAAATCGATCATGCGAGGAAAAAGGCTGGCCCAGGAAGTAAAAAGAAGTTTCCAAATTAAGCTCTAAATTTTATCTAATTAATTGACTGTATTTCCGAAAAAAACAACAATTTTTAATTATTATTATTATTTTTTTTAGGTTATACAGTTGAACCAGACAGTCTATGAATAAATCAACACCGTCAACGTCAAGTCTGCATCAAAATGGTTACTAATTCATATAATATATCTCTCAACTAGCTTGTGAAAGGGGTGAGCCGGTCCGTTCCTGCAGCCTATTTTAAGGTAGTTATGCTGCTGCATTGGTCGAAATCATTGGGAAAAAAAGGCAATTTATCGATTAAAAGCGCCATGGCCGATAATTTTATTTTCCCAAGAAATATTAATTATTATTATTCGACCTATGGTTCTTAAAAAGAGAAACATTTTATAAATATTTTTTTAGATACATATCGAATAAATATGGAGCTCACAAAAAAACAACAAAAAAATCTATCCATCCATCCATCCATCCAATCCATCCATCCATCCATCCATCCATCCATCCATCCATCCATCCATCCATCCATCCATCCATCCATCCATCCATCCATCCATCCATCCATCCATCCATCCATCCAAACCATCCATCAATCCATCCATTCATTCATCCATCCATCCATCCATCCATCCATCCATCCACCATCCAAACCTCATACAACCCATCAATCCATCCACCCATCCATCCATCCATCCATCCATCCATCCATCCATCCATCCATCCATCCATCCATCCATCCATCCATCCATCCATCCATCCATCCATCCAAACCATCCATCAATCCATCCATTCATCCATCCATCCATCCATCCATCCATCCATCCATCCACCATCCAAACCATCCTATTAATCCATCCATCCATCCATCCATCCAAACCACCCATCAATCCGTCCATCCATCCATCAGTCTGTATGTCTGCCTGCCTGTCTGCCCGCCTCTATGCCAGCCTGCCTGTCTGCCTGTCTGCCTATACCTATATATATATATATATATATATATATAGGTATATATATACACACACATTTATATATATAATGTGACTATTCATCTGCTTAATGGTATGTATTCCAATTACGTTCAATAATGTTCGTTAAATACTGAGAGGAAATAGAAAACAATGGTTTGAAAATTGTATTGCCGACACAATGATTTAATAATTTGGAGAACAAAAAAATCATGTTTATTTTAAGGTAAACATCTAAATTTATTAAGAGCACCCTGTAATCTAAAGGTATCTAACGCCACACAATGCAAACGATTTTAAACAAATGTCTAAATATTCTCTGGAGCCAGTCAGGATACTATTTCCACAGTTTAGTAAGGCTTTTCCTTTTGGTTGCTGTCTTTAGGTCCCGGCAGCTGAATATAAGGTTCTTTTAAGGACCGTTGAGCTCGCGGAGCCTTAGAAACCCGAGTCTGGAACAAAATCAATCAATACCAGTTGTTATGATGTCAAAGTAATTAAAATATGCAGTCGCTTACGAACCAGTCTATTAAAATTTGGAACTTTTATAAATGTTTTAAACGTACATTGTTCTCTATAAATATTACTTTCAGTAACGCATTACTGGTATATTAAAGAATCATAGTCAGTCCAATTATTATGGAGTTTCATTTTGCGCACTTGCTGACCAAAGCCCTACTTAATAATAATTTGTTTATTGGTATAGATTAAGCGCATAATATAAGGCTATGGGGTTTGTCCACATTTTTTTGTTTATAAGAGTAGCTTACCCTTGGATGACGCCCACTTATTTCAATTCTTGTTGGCTCTAAAATGACGTCTTTTGTTTCAAAATTGTTTCAAAGGAGGACTAATGAAAACATAACCATTCAGATACGTTTTATAAATTAAAAAACAAATTGTATACTTTCAATTTTTGAAAATGTATCTTCTTCAAATTCATGTTATCTTCATCCAATCCATGTATAATTACAACAGCTGAAACAACCGTCTGTTTCTTTTTCAGGACGAAAAAAAAAGAAGATATTTTTTACCGTACTGGTAACATCCTTTATGTATCTAATGCGAACCACTGAAAAGTGTTTAAAGAGATGTAAAATTAAAAATGAGAAGATAGGCAATTTAATATTTCCATTGTTTTGTAGAGCTTCCCCCCCTCCCCCAGGGGTAGCTTACATGTTTGGCTCAGTTGGTTGTTTGCTAGGTCCAGCTGAAGGTTTTTGCTGTCGCACTGAATTGGGACCTAGAATCTAGAAACAAAATTTTTTGAAAAATACGTTTTGTTATCATAGCAAAAAATTCAAAATGTGAACACATTTCTTACCTGGTGTGATATCTTTTTTTGATATTGATAGGGCAACATAATATTAAATTGTAAGTATAAATTATTTAAAGATGTACAACTTTTCTCTTGAGCTTTTAAAGGGGACATTTCCATTATTTATTAAGCCTCCCCCCCCCCCCCCACCCGGGGCGCTTACTTCACCCTTTGTGGCCGGAAGGATAGGCAATGGCATTTTTTATTTAAAACAAAATAAAGACATTTTTTTTTGCCAATATTTTTAAAAAATTTTAAAGGGGGCATTTTCCTTTTTTATTAAGCCCCCCCCCCCCCCCCCAACCGGGGAGCTTACTTCAGCCTCTGGTGTCGGAATGATAGGCAATGGCATCTTTTATCTAGAACAAAATTAATACATGTTGTCTTGGCCATAATGTTAAAAAAATGTTCATAGTCTTTACTGGGAGGTGGAGAAGGACATATTGTAGGTTAATTGTAATCCTGAGTAAATATCACCTGCGAGTTATAATTTCTAATTGTTTTTTTTATCACTTTCATCCAGGAGGCTTACATTAGGCTCAGTAGGTT